TCATATGTTTAATATCTCACAATTAAGGGAGCTCAAAATCATGTTTAATAAAGGCTCATCCCCCTCTCCTCTTCTTCGATCCTCAGTGTCATCTAATCTTTTCTGTTTGTTTGTTTTTTTAAGATTTATTTATTTATGCATACAAGAACTGGGATGTAAGCCAGAGGTGGGGGTGGTGAGAGGATTCACCAGAGAAAGTGGGAAGCAGAATAGGCAGATCAACTGAAATACACTGCTGAGGGGAGCAGTGGGCAAGGCAGGAGAGGTCTGCTGCACCATGTGGGTTGCTCCTGCAGTGGTTGGTGATGGCTTGATAGTGATATCATTAACCCCTGTGCTGCCAGGGAAGCCCTGTTTTTGGTTTTTTTGGGTTTTTTTTGGTTTTTAAAGATTTATTTATTTATTTATACAAGCACTGGGTACAGTTAGAAGTGCGGAAGGGTGAGAGAATTTACCAGAGCCAGAGCAGGGAGCAGAACAGGCAGAAGGACTGAAGTACACTGCTGAGCAGTGGGCGGCAGGAAAGGTCTGCACGCCATGTGGGACCCTCGCCGGCGGCCGGGGATCGAACCGGCGCTAGAGAGGCTGTGGGCAGCTTCGCAGCCCAGAGCTCAACCGCTGCGCCACCAGGGGAGAACCGGGGGTTTTTTGGTAATATACAATCACCCTTGGTTTTAGATTTCTTAATCAATGGTAGATTTTTTTTTGTTTTACTTCGCCATTCAACTTTATAGGAAAAATATCAGAAATCCAATGGAAAACTGGGCAAAGGCATAAAATAGTAGTTTCCACAAAGGAAACAGAAAGGAACATACCAACACATAGAATAAATAGATGGCCTAACTAGTGATTAAATAAATCACTAGTTTTTTCCCTTGACTTAATGACTCCCAGTGTTGGTAAGACTGTGGTAAAGTTTTAAATTTCTCTGCTGATAGTGGTGTAAATTGGGGCAAACTTTGCAAAGTACTGTGGCATATATATCAGGAAACATTAAGAACAGTCACAACCTCCAACCCCATACTTTTGTTCCTGGATATTATCCAAAGAAGCAACTGAACAGGGGAAACAAACCAAGATGCAAAAAACTTATTCATTACAGTCTTATGTATAATTTTCCAAATTGTAAAGTAAAAATAAAATAACATATTCAACTAGAAAACCAATTGGACATATGTTGTTATATTGACTCTGCTGTACTATATAACCAGTTAAAATGATAATTCATAGAAGTAGGTAGTAATATGGAAATATTTATGACATGACCTAAAAGAAAGTGGGATAACAAACTGCATATTATAATGCAATATACCTGTGAAGATGCATTATGTATATGAGCAAAACTGCGAATAGTATGCAAAAATATTCTCTTCTCATTTAGGAGGATTATGGGTGTAAGGGGCAGGACAGGGCACAAGGCAGGTTTTCTGATCCCATGCAGATCGGGTAAAGGAGGAGTCAGAGTCCTCAGTAGTTTTGCAGGTTTTTTATTTGGGGTTCACCAGGCATATGGCAGGCAGGGGTGCTGGCTGGGGGGCTGGGAGGCTGGCAGGCCTCCCAGCCCCCAGCAAGTCCTCACTCTATCTGGGCTCTCTAGCGTTCGTTCTGCTGCTTCTCGGCTTCGGCTTCGGCTTCGGCTGCGGCGGCTGCTGCTGCTGCTGCTGGTGCTGGTGCTGCTGGCGTCCCCCCCGTGACGCCGCCCTTAAAAGCACAGTCTTAGCTCAGCTGAATCCCATCTACCTATGCCCACACCCTATTCCAGGTGCCCACCATCAGGCATGCATTCAGGACAAGGATCCATCATCTATCCTGATGGCGGAAGGGCAGAAAAGCCTGATATTTTCTTTACCCTACAATGGGTAATTCCCCTCCCTTTTTTTTTTCAGTTTTCTTTAATATTGATGTTACATTGTCTTTATTGTTTAAAAGAATGAGGCAAGACAAAGGTACAAGGAGTCTGCTGAGAGTTAAAAGATCTGACTTTTTTCCCCCAATGTAAGACATGTCTTTTTTCTTCATAAACCTAAATTCCTCAATCTGTACAATGGGTTAGCACTAATTTCCTTTACCCCAGATTGACAGAATGTTTACTTTATAAAGCTTTTAACTCTATGAATACAGGGTTCCTATGCATGCCATCCTGGGAGAAGGAGAGAAGGGAGAGAGAGGAAGAGATAAATAGGCACTAATTAATTTTAAAAGGAAGGTCATCTGCTTTAATCGGAAATGCATATGTGCCGTGCCCCTAGTCAGAGTTTTAAGCGCAGTCCATGTTAGTTAGCAACTTTATTTTAAAGTACTGTGTGATCTGCTAAGCTTTGAAGATATGAAACCTGTATGCATGCAGATGAGCTGAAATGACCGCGTAGTCACAGGCAGGGCGCACTCTGCATAATTAAATGCACTGAGCAACAACTCCAGATGATGGAGATGGACGATGATGTGTAAGAAAGAGTAGTGCGAGAACCACATGACAAGAGCAACTACGAGACATTTTGAAATGATGGTTTAATTTCCAAGCTTTCTTTTTAACTTGTGCTTTCTCTTTTAGCCTTTACAGGCAAATAAAAGAGATTTGATTATCTTGTTTCCTATGAAAGGTTACTAAGCTTCTCGATTCCATTAAGTCACTTTCTGCACTCCAGTGCACCGAGACTTTGAGACTTCACCAGGTTATCAGCCCAGGAAGAGTAAATGGAGACACCAGGATCAGATTTCTAAAGGAAGGAAAGTTAAAGCAAAGTTTGAAAGGGGTGACAGCCAACAGCCATGAGCGTAGGAACTCAATTAGACAGAAAGATAACTATCTCATTATCTCATTCAGAAATGATCTAAATACATAAGAATCTAAAAGTTTTAAATAAACTTGTCCTACTGAATGTCTAGATGACTGAATTTCCCTTCTCAAAAAATTTTTAAACACCCACTTTCATATTTATTTATTCTAAGCACAAAGCAGCTGCAATAATTATGCTGTCAGATTCAGTAAGCTAATGAGGAGTCAGCCCAAGGAAGGTTTTGCATTTGTGAGATTGCTGCAGGAGAGCTGCTCTCCTGCTTTTATCATGCTTTCTCTTGCTTTCTTGCCTTTTTTTTTTCCTGTTTACTTTTTCCTTTTCTATGAGTTGGGAAGGAGAGTCAGGCAGTCCATAGCCAACTTGGAGACCTTGGTTAGAGTTGTTTTCCCAGCACTGTTCTGCCAGATAATGTCTCTCTCTACATCCCTCTCATACCTTCTCCCTCTCCTGCCCCCCTTTTCATTCCCTGTCTTTCTTCTCCTTCTCCTCTTTTTCTCCTTTCTCTCTCTCTCCCTCCCTCCCTGCTGGAGGAGCAAGCAAACCTGGAGGAGATCCCAGCCCTTCAAGTCACTGTCCCCAAGGCAAGAGGACACTTCTCCCCAAGGGAAGTTCCCAAAATGGTTTGGTCTTGAGCTGAGTTGAGAGTAATCTGTAATTTATGTACTGTTTGTTTTAGCTATTTGACTCTTCTAACTATGGCATGAGCTAGCAGAAAGTTGAATACAGAATTCCATGTAATAATGTACCTGTGAAATGGGTCATGCTTAGCAACAAAATGTGGTGCCTCTCCTTCCCAGCCTAACAGGTGAGTAGCTCCAAACTCCAGGAGCCAGGGCTGCAGATTACGGCATCTCAGACAGAAGTCTAGGTCACATAGGCGGGGCAACATTGTAGGTCTGTTTCTTCTCTCTGGGAATGAGCAGCTTCAAGCAAACAGTATCATTAAGGCATTTTATGCTTCCACCCAAAGCTAGAAGGTTCATTTTTTTTTTTGTTTAATTGTGCAATAAGCAAATTGTGAGTCTTGGGGAAGCACTGCCCACCTGGAAGGCTGTCCTGAGTGGGTTTTGTGGGTGTGCTTTAGGGCAGTGTGGTTGCTGCCTCTTGCTTGTCTTTCTCACATGGTATCTATGCTGATCCTTGTAACAATGGCTACTAGTTATTAAACAACACAAGATGTTTTGCATACATTATCTCCTTTAAATTTATAGCAATCTCTCTGGAAGTTTTAATCATCCCCATATTGTAGATGAGCTCCTTCAGTATAACTTTTGGAGTCTTGGCCATGATTTCAGCATAGTGAGCACCCCAGAATAACACTTGCTTAACAAATGCAAGCATTCATCTAAATGCAAACTGCCAGCATGCTGAACTAACCAAACACATGAGTCAAAGGGTAAAGATAATTATCTATTTCAAAATCTCCTTTTTCATTAACAAAAGTTATACCTTAGCATCTATTTTAAATAGATTGCCTAATGTAGCTAAAAGCATTTGCATCTTTCCGAAACATACCCTAGCCCAGCATGAGACTTGTTCCCTGTCATCAGGACTAAAGCCCAGACTCCTTGCCTTGACAATCTCTCCCTTCACCATCTGGGTACAATGCATGTTTCCAACTTTATCTTTTAAAGTTGTCTTGCTCCAACCATCCAAGATTACTTCTCCATCTCCCCAGCACTCTCCACCATGCCTTCACTGCTGTCGACACTTCTGCCTGAAGTATGCTCCCTTGGAAGTCCTTGACTATTGAGAGCAGAGTCATCCTTCAAGCCTCAGTAGGCACTTGTCTATGCTGTCCCTGCGCTTATAGTCATAGGAAGGGGGAGGAGGGCTTTCATAACTCTGCTTGTGTCTCACTTGTGGCCCTCATTTGCTAGTGTATGTGTATCCCCCGGTTCTATACCTATTTTTGCCATCTTCACCACCTAGCATAATGCCTTACCCAGGTGAAACATACTGGTAAGTATACATTGACTTGAATTGAAAAGGAGGCATTTGGCAACTCTTAGTTCATTCAGTGCAGTGAGTTATCCATGAGTCAGTAAAAAATCATTGGTAGATAAATCAGATGAATCTGGCTAATGCTTTCGCTTTTCTTTTGGTAGCAAATTATAATAGTCATTTTAAAAAATACACTGTGAAGGAGAGCAGTGAATAATACGTTGGTTTTTTTCTTTTCTTTTCTTTTCTTCCCTACAGAGGAATCTTTGTTTACAGTTTCAGGAGTGAGTCTAAAGCCAGAAATGTGTGACCTCTTGGCCTCCTACCAGAAGGGTCACCATCCAGCCCCAGTGAGCAAATGCTGGTGAAAAGAAAGGGTGAGATCACCAAGATCCTTCCAGGTGAGTGATCCCAACAGCGAGGCTACTGTGAACAGGACTGAAAAGTGATAGCAGCCAGGTGGTAAGGGTGGTTCCTGAACTCAAGGGCATCTCTGTTCTGTGTCCGGTTCTTCCTTCCCACTCTAGGGACAGGCAGCCCAGCCTCTCAGGCTGTGAAAGGACAGCTGAATGCACATCGCCAGTCTCTCCCACTCCCCTGAGAAGTGGTAATGCTCCTGACGCAGAACTTACAGGTCACGGCGAGGCCTGTGGCTGACCATGTGGAATAAAGGACTACATCTGGCATCTTGAGTTTCTTAACTTAGCGTTTCTCTCTGTAAGCTCATAGGACAAAATCAGAGATCAGGGTGACCAGCCATCCCAAATGCAGGCTGAGCAAATCCTAAGATGTGGAACATTTGGTAATAAAATTGGCACAGTCCCATGTAAACCAGGATGTTGGGTCACCTTAGTGGTGCAAAGGACCCCTTCATCTGCCCCCTGGTGCCAGAAAAGAGCTGGTTCAGAGCCTGGCCCAGGAGATCGTTTTAAAGGCCCATGAGAATGCAGTTATCACAACTACGGGCTTCCTCCTGCACAGTTGGTTACAGGGAGTCCTCTCTTTTTCAGGGTGAGTACTGGGGACCATAGGAGCCTGCTTGGAGAGTCACGAGTGATCCACAAATGTCACAGACACAGCTGCTCACAGGAGTCATCTTAATCAGCTGAGGGCAGCCCAGCCTTCCAAGGTAATCTTGAGAAGGAGGCTGAGGAGGATTCCCCAAGGCTACCATACCTTAAAAGGAGTTCTGCTGGTAGGCGGGACATAGTGACAACTCCAAAAGCTACTGTAGTTTGGACACACCCAGATGTCACAAAAAACACTTCCCATACAGGGCCTTCTGTATTGAGCAGAGGGCACAATAATTTAGAGAGTGAAATCAAGGTGGAACCTGGTCACAGAATCAGCCAACCTATGACCCTGGCTATACCTGGCTATATCTAAAGCACAAGCATTAGACTGATTTGGTAATCCATTTTGTAACCACAGCTTGCCTGTGCTTCCCATCAGAACTTTCGGAGCCTAGATAGCAACCACCAGCACACTACCCCCCCACCCCCACCCCCACCATGTCATTCAGAGGGCAGGATTCAGCTCTTTGCTGCTTTTTCTTGGATCTCTCTCTTTTTGGCTATTGATATTTAAAGGCAACAGGCAAGGAAGGGCTGGCAGGTAGGCCATTGTAGAGGCCAGGACAGGACCACAGTGCAGGTTTTCTGATCCCATGCAGACCGGGTGAAGGAGGAGTCAGAGTCCTCAGTGGTTTTTGCAGGTCTTTTATTGGGATTTACCCGGTACACAGCAGGCAAGGGTGCTGGGGGGCCGGGAGGCTGGCAGGCCGAGGTGAATCCCATCTACATAGGCCCAGACCCTACTCCAGGTGCCCGCCATCAGGCATGGATTCAGGACCGTAGGGTCCGTCATCCATCCTAATGGTGGGAGGGCAGAAAAGCCTGACATTTTTTCCTTACCCTACAGCCATGCAGGGGATCTGGGAGACACCAGGCTTGGGGGGCCGGGAGGCTGGGAAGACAACTAAGCCTTTGTCTGGGCTCACGCTCTGGTGTCTCTTGCACAGGCACCCTCTGGTGGTCTTGCCTCTCCTGTAGTCATGCTACTTGTCCTCTCACTGCCGCTGATGCTGCTGCTTTTATCCCCGGCTCTAGGCTGTGTGCATACATACACACGTGTGCACACTCACACTCCAGTTCTCCACAATCAGGCACGTGTGCCCCGTACCTACACCCCAAGCACCTTCTGCATTAACACCATTAAGGCTGCAGGTGATAGCCACAGAGGCTAATGGCATAAAATACCTGATTAATTCATTTGCCTTACACATATATACATCAAAGTGTCCTTCTGGATATTCTAAGGACATTGTATTTAGAAATTTGGCAAGATAAGGGAAGTTTAGAATTATAATTGTCCCTCAGAACATTTTATGAAGAACATGAGTCTATTTTGACAATACACAATACTATGTTATTTTCCAAAGCAAACTATTTCCTAGCACAGAGAATTCACTAGAATGCCATTTAAACACATTAGTTAGGAGAATAAGACATACCAGCGTTATATTCTATAAAGTGAAGGATTTGCCCTTCAAAGACAATGATGGAAATGGTCTCAGGTGGTTGTGCTCCATAGCATTGTTGTGATTGCTGCTGTGACAGCTTTTATTTTTCTAAGTGATTGGAAGATAGGGAGATAATGCAGCCCCTCTTCTGTCTAGTGACTTTCCACAAAGAATTGTCACCTGCAGAAGTAAATTGGTCACAATAGAAAATCAATTAAATGCAGTGTGTCAAACTCGGTGTGTGTGCCAGCACTCGAAGACTGGAGGACGCAGATTTAGTCTATTGCTGTAAGCTCATGATGTCCCTAGGCCTCTGTTGCGAACATAAGGAGATAAAACCCGTAGGAGATGAGCCACAATAGGGAAATGCTAGCGCAATTAAACTGTTTAATAAATGGCTTGGGATCAGCAAAATCTTGGTGTGCTGGAGTTAAAGAGACTAAAAGCAGTAATCACACAGACACTTGGGGCCTATGAATCTTTTCCACTAAATTGAATTTATGTTAAAATATTCACTTTTCTGGAGATTCAAAATGTAAATTGGGATATTAGGACTTGTAACTGGCAGCAATGCCTCAGAATTGACTTCTTAAAACATCTTCAAAATGTCATTTTCAGGTATGGGGAAATTTCTACTGATGTTTTCCACAGAATAATAGAGGGATTTTAAATATATATACCATGTCCCAGGCACTTTACACGTGTTATTTCAAAGCTTGGTGTGTTTTTGAATAGTGGGATGTGATGAATTACAACTGTAGTTGTATATCCAAAGACAAATTTTGATTATTTTTAAAGCTTTCTTACTTCTTTTCACAAGAGGTAAGATGCTACTCTGTTAAAATTTATTATCATCTTTTCTATCTATAATGCACACAATTCCATCCCTAAATTTACAATAATGTTTTAACAGTTTTCCTTACTCAATCCATACTAGCTGTTCATTATTTTTATTTTATTTATTCTTCACTTTATTTATTCATTGCTGCTGTTTCTGTTTTCATTTGTTTGAGCTTACTAAGAAACTTCATATCTAATTCTACACTGCGCCAGGAATTTTTATACCATCACCTGTGTAGGGTAAATGAAATTGCTCAGGCTTTTGCGCCATCGGCCTCTGTGTCTATCATCTGCAGTCTTGAAAGCAGGAGGCGCTTGGGAGCATGGTCTTGGGGCACGCATGCCTGATTGTGGGTACCTGGAGTATGGCGTGGGCCTACCTACCTAAGTGGGCACACCTGAGCCTGGAGGCGTCACAGAGGACAGAGAGCAGCGGGGGACGCCCAAGAGCCCCGCACACACAAGTGGTGTAGAAAGATCATTCAAAGCCTGAAATAGTCATTGAGGGCTCCAGGACTCTGATTTACCCATCTGCCTAGACCCATCGAGAACCTGCCTTGTGCCTTCCCGCCACTACAACCTGTGACCTAGAATATTTTAAACATTAAAATAAGCAAATGATACAAAACACTTGGAGAAAAAGCATTGAAGGTTATTGCTATTGTCATTTCCCTAGAATTTAACAGTGATTGGCTCAAAAGTTAGACACAGACTAAGATAGTCTGTGAAAAGGATTTCTGAATAATTTTGTTATTTGATAGAGAGATCCCTGAGTCAGGAGGTAGATTTCCTGACAGGACAGATGGGAGACTGACAATTGAAAGATCTTGGAGAGGGAGCTGGTGCTTACAGAGGCCTGTTGATCCTCTGCTCACTTACAATTGTCCCCAACAAAAGGACTTCTGTGGCAAAGAGAGGATTAGTCTAAAGTTTAGAAATGTCTCCAGGGAAGGTGGTTTCTTGGATAAAGTTGTCAACAAAAGGACTTGCTTAAGACTCTTTCTTGTGATTTCCTAGGGGGCGCTTCTTCCTTCGGTAACAGGATTATCAAAACACATTACCACCCTAATCAGATTTTAGGCATTTGGATTGAGCTGATAGTTAGAATTAAATTTCTGGCTATCTTTCTATTGAATTGCAGTTGTCTTTGATGATACAAAAAGTGATGATTAATCTAAGCTTTGATTTGATCATGGAGATATTGAATAGACATGGAGCAGTAAAGAGTTCCAAGGATGTAATTCAACCCCATTGCACCATCAGACACACATGAGTGTGCACACACCCGTTACCCTCAAATAAAATGAGAGGGTCTATGATAACACACGTACAATCTTCTGCAATTACTCCTAAAGAAAGCCAGGGAAATTCTAACTACTTCTGTCTAGGGATCATCTACTCAGGAAATAGTTGCCCAGAAATCAGAGACTTCTTTAAGCCTCTAAAAGAACAAGGAGGAACCAATTAAGAAGAAATTTTAAGACAGTAATTATACAGCCAAAGTCTGAAATGGTAGAAGGAAAAACTCATACAAATAGTCAAAAGAAATTCACCTTAGTGGGTATTTGATTTGTCAAAGGTATTTGACAAAACCTGCCAGGTATTCCTGAAAGATGAAACTGTGTGGGTGGAAGATGGGACAGATGTGTGTGCTCAAAGAATGGTGGTTATTCAACCTAGAGAAAGGCCAACAGTGGTGAGGTACAAGGGTCCATCTTAAATCCTGAATTTGAATTCTGGTCAAATGTTTTTCATGAATTATTTGAATAAAATCAGGGAAGATACACCACTTATTCATAAAACTCACTGAAGTAAGTACTGTTATTATTAAATTATTACTTCCATTTTACCAAAGAGGAAACTAGTTCAAAGTTAAATAACTCCTCCCTGAGAGTATACCAGTGTTAAGGTACAGCCTCAGGTCTGGCTGTCCCCAGTGTCTCTGATCTTTCCAGTAATCATGTACATACTAAATCTGTAGAATACACAGCTCTAATGAGGCAGCTGATATTTAGCATTAGATCCTGATTCAAAAGACTAAGACCTTGCTGAAAGCCAAGTGTACCACTGAACACCTAGTAGAATGGCCAAAATCCAAACCTCCAACAGCACCAAATGCTGGTAAGCATGTGGGGCAACAGGAATCTCACTCATGGCTGGTGGGAATGCAGAATGACACAGCCACTTTGGAAGATAATTGGGTGGTTTCTCCCAAAACTAAGTATATAGTTTTACACACACACACACACACACACACACACACACACACATATGTTGGATATATAGTATATACCCAACAATCATTCTCTTTGATATTTACCCAAAAGAATTAAAATCTTATGTTGACACAAAAACCTGTACATAGATATTTATAGCAGCTTAATTCAAAATTGCCAAAACTGGAAATAACCAAGATGTCCTCAGTAGGTGAATGAATAAATAAACTGTATTCAATCCAGTTAATGGAATATTATTCAGTGTTGACAAGAAATGAGCTATCAAGTCATGAAATGGGGGAAACCTAAGTGAATATGCAAAGTGAAGGAAACCAGTCTGATGAATCTACATATATTATCACTACAACTACATGACATTCTGGAAAAGGCAAATCTCTGGAGACAGAAAAATGATTAACATTTGCCAAGAGTTAGGAGGGAGGGGTGAATAGATGGAGCACATTGGATTTTTAGAGCAGTGAAACTATTTTGTTGACACTATTCTGGTG